TATTGAATTTACTACAACACTAATATCTGATCCCAAGTCAGAAAACAAACACTGAATTTACTACAACACTAATACTTGATCCGAAGTCAGAAAACAAACACTGAATTTACTACAACACTAATACTTGATCCGAAGTCAGAAAACAAACATTGAATTTACTACAACACTAATACTTGATCCTAAGTCAGAAAACAAACATTGAATTTACTGCAACACTAATACTTGATCCGAAGTCAGAAAACAAACATTGAATGTACTGCACCTTTGACTGTCTGCAATTTTTTATTAGTTAATATCTTCTTTGTTGATGTGACAAGTTGCCTAAAAATGATGTCGCAGAAATAAATGGAAAAAATCTTTTGCTTTTCTCAGTTTTACCAAAATTTATTTTCATTTGTAATTAAAATTGTGAATATATTTAGAAGAGTGATAAGCCATAAGAATGTAAACTTTCATCATAAAAAGCTTTTAATTATGCTACTATTTAACTGATAAAGCGGTACATTTCACACTACTGTAAGAGACTAAAATAGAACATTTCACACTACTGTAACAAACTAAATTGATACATGTCATATTTCACACAACTATAACAAACTAAAGTGGTACATTTATCATATTTCACACTACTGTAACAAACTAAAAATGGTACATTTCACTCTACTGTAACAAACTAAAATGGTACATGTATCATATTTCACTCTACTGTAACAAACTAAAATGGTACATGTATCATATTTCACACTATTGTAACAAACTAAAGTGATAAATATATCATATTTCACAAAATTGTAACAAACTAAAAATGGTACATTTCACACTACTGTAACAAACTAAAATGGTACATTTCACACTACTGTAACAAACTAAAATGGTACATTTCACACTACTGTAACAAACTAAAATGGTACATTTCACACTACTATAACAAACTAAAATGGTACATTTCACACTACTATAACAAACTAAAATGGTACATTTCACACTACTGTAACAAACTAAAATGGTACATGTATCATATTTCACACTATTGTAACAAACTAAAAATGGTCCGTTTCACACTACTGTAACAAACTAAAAATGGTACATTTCACACTACTGTAACAAACTAAAAATGGTACATTTCACACTACTGTAACAAACTAAAAATGGTACGTGTATCATATTTCACACAATTGTAACAAACTAAAGTGGTATGTATATCATATTTCACACAATTGTAGCAAACTAAAGTGGTACATGTATCATATTTCACACAACTAATAAACTAAAGTGATAAATGTATCATATTTCACACTACTGTAACAAACTAAAGTGATACATGTATCCTACTTCACACAATTGTAACAAACTAAAGTAGTACGTGTATAATATTTCACATAACTATAACAAACTAAAGTGGTACATGTGTCATATTTCACACAATTGTAACAAACTAAAGTGATACATGTATCCTACTTCACACAATTGTAACAAACTAAAGTAGTACGTGTATAATATTTCACACAATTGTAACAAACTAAAGTGATAAATGTATCATATTTCACACAATTGTAACAAACTAAAGTGGTACATGTATCATGTTTCACATAACTGTAACAAACTAAAATGGTACATGTATCATGTTTTATACTACTGTAACAAGCCAAAATGGTACACATATCATATTTTACACAATTGTAACAAACTAAAATGGTACATGTATCATATTTCACACTACTGTAACAAACAATTAATGTACTGCACATAAAACTACTCTTTCCAGAACACAGAAAATTTGACAAATTGGAATAAACACATCAGAAACACATACATTTCACAATATTTATATCTACCTTTACAATTTTTAAAAGATTTTATCAAAGTGTGTAAGATTGTACTTACTTAGTATTTATGTAGTCTATTCGATGCTTCAGTAAAAAATCTCTCATTCTAGTTATTGAAGATACCTATAAGAGAAACACAAAGTTAACTTGGAGAGATACTTGCACTTTGATATAACAGAGCTTGATCAGAGTGAACCAGATATAAAATTAAACAGAAAACACTTTCCTTCAAATAGTCCTGGGATCATCAATGTTCTAGAAATCACACCACTGCTGTCAACAGAACAAAAAATATTCTTTTTCGTAGCAGTAAAATTCAGTTTGGTTTTCTAACAAATAAAAATCATTTTCTTAATATTATCAAGAAAGTTTAACTGAATTTCATGTTCTATTTTTTGAACAATAAATATTCTACACAATCAACTGCTTGATTCATTAATACATATTATAAAACAAGGGTTGAAAGAAATTAAAAGTTTAGTAAAAAATCAAGAATTTAAAGTCATATATATGCTAAATTTGAAATTTTATTCTCCTCTCACATATTTTACGTTATGTGTGTTTTGATAGACTAACAAACCTATACATATCCAAACATGAAAAAATCAATGAATTTTGTAAAACATTATCATACATAGAACTCAACTAAGTAATGATACATTAAGACTTCTCAAAAATACTTGCATATATACATATTACATCCCTATAAATGTTGAATAAATCTTATTTTATAATTATTATTATACTAAAATAAATTACAAAATTCTTCACTAAAAGAGACTAATTACTTCAGTTTATTGACAAGTGACGGAAAGTGTAAACTTTCTTTATGTCACTGTCAATATATTCTTCACTAAAAGAGACTGATTACTTCAGTTTGTTGACAAGTGACTGAAAGTGTAAGCTTTCTTTATGTCACTGTCAATATATTCTTAACTAAAAGTGACTGATTACTTCAGTTTCTTGACAAGTGACTGAAAGTGTAAGCTTTCTTTACGTCACCGTCAATATATTCTTCACTAAAAGAGACTGATTACTTCAGTTTGTTGACAAGTGACTGAAAGTGTAAGCTTTCTTTATGTCACTGTCAATATATTCTTCACTAAAAGAGATTGATTACTTCAGTTTGTTGACAAGTGACTGAAAGTGTAAGCTTTCTTTAC